ATAATACTTTATTTATATAGCACTATTTCCCTTTAGCTCAATAGCACTTTACAACTGTACAACAAAACCATACAATCATGTACTTTGGGGAGCAAAGTACAATTATCTTCAGTTAACCTTACAGATTTAGAAGTCTTCAGAGCTCCAACTAAATTTAACTGATTTAAGGAGCATTGTGGGAAGGTTTGGGATCACTATGTCTATCATTTAGTTTAACAGACCACAGCTAAGCCCATTGACATAATTTATAACACAAAAAACCCCATTACATTTGTACGATATGTACTACAATAAAGAGTCTTTTTCACATACTGACCTCCTGGAGCAGGTCTGGTGTTACCAACCCCTCCTTGCTGGGATTCCCTAAGCTTTTCTTCCACCTGCGATAAGCTGCTTTGATAAAATGCGCTGCCAGGCTCTAATTCTAGAGCCTTTGAAACAAATGAAACAACATGTCAGTTACTTCACAACGTTCTCCAGATGAGAATTGTCTGAGTTCACAATGAATAGACTTGACAGAAACAAGTGACAATGATATCGTCAATAGCACTTCTTATTTTCGATGAAGTATTTCAATTAGAGTTTCATACCTTTGCATAGCTTTCCTTGGCTTTCTGGAGGTTGTTCAAATTGTGATATGATAAACTGAAATATATGAAAGACCCAGGGTAAACAAATCAATGTAAACCACGACCCAGGTGTCATTGATGGGAAGGTTACTACTTGTACATGTAACTGCCTTTGTCATCACACAAGAACAATGTAAGCTCACCCCATTCGTCCATAAGCCTTTCCATAATTGGGGTCCAGAGTTAGAGCTTTCTGGCAGTCATCTATTGCCTTTTGGTGTTCACCCATTTTGCTGTAGGCAGCAGCCCTACATAGAAGAAATATTGATCAAGACATGTCTTACGTCAGTGACAATATTGTCAGTGTTACTCCAGAAAACACCCACACTACCATACTGGGGTTTCTTTGTTTGAAAACCTCTCTTTGCCCAGCTAGAAATTCCAGTTGAGCTTCATTCTTTCCTTTTAAAAGTTTTATCGTTTGAGCTACCCCCCCTCCCATTACCATATATCAAATGAGCCTCAGTGGGATGAGCATGGATATTATCCAAAAACACAATGGATCCTGTCATTCTCTTCCACTGATCTGGTATTGTTAATAGTATGGAGAAACAACAAGTACCCTTACTTGACCAAGAGCCTGTTATAGAAACCCTGTGATACTCTAGTGTACATGTACATGTATGTGTAAAAGATGGGAACATGGATTTAGCAGGATTTTCACAAACAATCAAAATGAAAGGTGACTGACAATAGAATCTCCACAAACCTGTTACAAGGAAAGACAGCATTAGCACTGTCCAATTCCATGGCTTTGGTATAACACAGTATTGCTTCATTATACTTTTCTTCTTTCATCAACTGGTTTCCTAAGGAATGTACAGTGATATTTAACAATTAGACCCATAGCCCATAAGGCGAAGCCGAATGGGCTATTGACCCGTGCCCCTTGAGGGCGAAGGGTCTAATTGTTTTAGTATCACCCAACTAGTTGGACAGAAAAGGCAATAATAAAGTTTAGCAAATGCAAGTTGAAGAAATATTTATTTGGGAATAAAATGAAAGAACGTGTCATGGTCGATTGCGCCAATTTCACTACTTGAGGACTATTACTAATAGTAAGAGCCAGAGCTATCTAGGCCATGTTCACTACATTGTATATATATGTACAATGTATCTAGACAAGAATGCTCAAGAAGGTCAGGATTCAGAATTTTGCTAGTGCTGGTCTAATGTTGGACTAGTGAGAGTTTTAATCTACTGTTCCACAGTCAACAAAACACCAGTGGTACACCACTTAAAGTATGGCATTGAAAGGAAGGGAAAGAAGGAATTTGGTGAGTTAAGGTTATAAGATGCTGGCATTATTGCACAGATTATACTGTACCTTCAGTTTTAAGTTCTTCTGCTTTGGCCCTGTCTTCGGCAGTAGGCTGAGCAGCTGTTGATCCTCCCCTTGTCTACAAACAGATAAAGAAATGTTTTCTAGAAACACTCAAATGTGGAAAGAGAAATACTTATCAAACTCATTTTAATCAGTACTTCATTAAGTTTAAGAAAAGGAAATCATGACCGAGACGGTCTTTGGATATCTGATCTTGATTAGCATAGATTTTTACAATTTTATTTCTCTGTTTTCTCCTTAGTTTTAGTTTGGACTGAGAAGCTATATCAACCTCTCAAGACAGTGTTTGACAATATTTCCAAACACCTTTAGGTTTGTCAAAAATACACCACTATGTATCATATTTTCAGCTCTCCTCTTAGCATTTGGAAATGTGGTCAAACATGGTCAAGAAGATTTGTGTTTTAATTTGATATTAATAATATATATAACCTTATTTATACATAACATATCTACAATGATCCTTCAATTTATGAAATTCATTTAGTTAGACACTAATAATGTAATTGCAAAAGAGAAATCTTACTGTAAGTTGCATTTATTTGTAACAGTTATGAATAAAATTCCAGTTAAATTAAGTCCATAATTCAAAGTACATTTAAAGAGACACAAACCTGGGTTGCAGTTTCAAATATTTCTCCTAGAGGTTTATCACACTTCAATGTTTCAACTTGTGTAGGGTCGTTTCTGTTTATATCATAAACAGCTTCTAAACACTGGATAGAAACTAGAAGAAAAAAAGTTTCTCTGTTCAAGTAACACACACAGATCTAGTAACAACCTTGTGAACTCTCAGACATCACCTCAAATTGATACTAACATCCCCAATGTGTGTGTCCAGAGAAAATCTATACCCACACCATGGAGGGACACTGGAAATTCTGAGGAGGAGGGAATTCTCAATAGCCAAATTTTCAAGGGAAAGTATGAAGCTAATTAAAACTGGAAATTCCTGGGAGGAGAGGAGTGCAAACCAAATAACCATTCTTGGGAGGTATGGATATTTTCTGGAGCCACACAGTATCTTAGATAGAACCTTAAGTGTTGAACAGAAGTATTTCTAATTAAAAGTTAACAATTTAACAACTTGCGCACTCTAAATTTTCATCTTAACTTTCTTCCAATCCTTGATCTCCAAGAATAAACTCCCAGCATACTCCAAACACAGTTTATGAATTATTATTACGAATTCTTCAAAAACATTTGTTATACTTTGCTCATTAATTTCTTGGGAAATTCATGAGAACTGAAAATTGAAAATTCAAATTTTGGTTTCTACTTTATTAATATTAATTTCAATTTCAATTTCCGGGAAAAATGGTAATAGATTTATATTTAACTTGTCCAAGAAAAAAAAGGGATTTTCTTTAAAAATGCCTTGGGAAATTGACTTTGTCAGATTTTAAAGTCTCCTGAGGAAAAAATACTGGTAACTTTACACCTTCTCAGTTTGGTTAACTGGGAAACTCCTGCAGTAACATGTGCAGGTAATGACTGATAGTTGATCAAGCATAAAGTGAAGTCCACAAGAAGATAACAAAAATATATACAATTATAATGTATTGGGACATTGAATTTTTTACCTTGCACCCCCTTCCCTCTCCCCCCCCCTGCCCCCCTTATGGTGAAACAGACTTTACTCAGTGCCCAAGGTTGCCCTCCATGGCGGGTTGGGGGCAGATAAAAAATGTATCATTTGTATACAGTGTACTATAAGAATTACTAGAATACAATTTTACCACAAATGTATCAAGCAATTAAAACAAATAGTGTGATTAAAAATTGAAGGTAGTCTTAAGATTCTGTTATATTGTATTGACTTTAACAATCGTAAAATGAAAGAGTCCACAGAACAAACTGTGATCACGAGAAAGGTCTTCTTACAAGTACATTTTGAGCGACACACACAGTTACAACAAATCCACCAAGCAGTTTGAGAAGATTTGCCCTAAACGTTACAATAGAGACGAAACTAACACGTGCGCGTTAAAAATGTACAATTAAGCAGACTTCACTCACCGTCTAAACTCTCCGCTGCATCGCCGATCACAGCACCGGATTTCAACTGCGAAGAAAGATGTTCGATAATGGCGAACGCTAGTCTCTGTGAATTCGACATATCTCCTATGAGGGTAATCAAGGCCTGGAAACTCTGAGATCGCAGTGAACTGGAAGGAAAGATGTCCTGAATTCGCTTTCAAATTCAGCCACGTTCACCCACTATTCAGTTCCTGTTTGCAAAAAGATGGCGGATCTTTCTTGAACCCGCAGTGTTTTGGACTGCGGTTGTTACTCGTTCCAGACTTCCTCGACACTTTAACCCGGTATATTCACACGTGAAAACTAGACAAAACTAGTTGCATCAGATGTTTGGGATCTTTTTGGGGGTCAAATCATTGTCTTTGTTCCGATCTACCGTATTTTCAAGACGTTTACACTACAGCAGGTACTTTTCATCTCAAATTGGCGAAATCATGAAGCTTTACAGTGACCGAGGAAACCCGGTCCTGCTTCGCATTTTGGCAGCAAAGAATCTGGCAGGCGTTCCACTGACCGTACAGTACATCAATTATGAAGGTAAAATTTAAGTTCACTTCCTCCGTGAAACGAAAACGAAACCGGAACTGTGATGGAATTTTAGGGATCTTTTGTTTTTAAGATAGCTGGTAATAAAGAAATAAACGTCTACAGTAAGACGTGTGATTTAAGCTCAGTGCTTCGTGATAAACTTCTCGATTCACTTTGGAATTTCTCAAGTGATGATTGTAATTTCTTTCTGATGCAAGATCAAATTCAGTAGATCGTATCATTATTCATTGTTGTAAAGAATTAGCAGGAAATCTTGAAAAACTGGTGCACAAACAAGAGGGAAACAAGATCTGTAGTTGTTCAACAAATGGTTGAAGTGATTTAAGGGGCGCGCGCTTTATGTGAATCACCTCCCAGCAAACTCCCCACCTCACCCATGCAACTATTTCTCTCTAGTAATTCTGAGCTAAGGTTTGCTCATTTATTTTTTTCTGAGAATTCTACATATTCCCGAAAAAGAATATTTGTCATCACAGATACTGCCTAGTATACTCCACACATTGAAGGTTATAGTTTGTATGGGAGAGTGTGGAGGGAGGGTAGAGATATAATGAGTTTCCTCATCCATGAAGGGCGTCTAAGATCTTGATTAACAAAAATACCTTTAATTAATCAGCTATATTTGGAATTTTTCTCCCACTTCCTTCTATAAAATTTCAGAAAACCCATACCTGGGAGGCAGGATGTCATTGGCAGGGAGACTCCCTGCTCTTTGCTTGAGATCCTGTCTCCCATAACCTTCCTGCCCTTTTTCCTCCTATGTTCCCACCCTTCTCCTCATTTCCCTTGCTATGTTAATAATTATTATTTTTAACTAGCTTAATGCTGCCAGTGGATCAGTTTTACATCTGTATTAATGTTTAAATGCATTGAAATAAAGTATGTGTACTAGATAGTGGATGTACATTTGATCAAATATATTTCAATACATTCAAACATATGAAATAAAGTGATTTCTAGTTTCTAAAGAAACTGTTGTACTTTGTTTGATAGAAGGTAAAAGGAGCACAGTGTCTATTTTTAGTTGAAGTTGCTATTACAGGTATACTGATAATGTATTGATCATTACGATAAAGATTAAAAGGCTTCTTATCATCAGCCATGCTGGTTAATAATATCTTGTTTATATCTTGTTGACTTCCTTATTTTTTTTCTATTTTCAGACAAAAACAAATTTCACTGTCCAGGAAGTAGTAAGGTTTGTTTTACCCTGATCCCAGAGGCTTTTCTTTATTTTTCTCCACAGGAGAGAGCTGTGAGAGAGCCATGAAGCAGCAAACATGACTCGTGTTTTCACCACTTCATGGCTCTCTCTCAGCTCTCTCATGTGGAGAAAAATCAAGAAAAACCTCTGGGACCAGGAAAGATTTGTTTGAACTTTTACTAATTAAATTATATTATTTTATCAGCCACTAGTTGGAGTGTATATGAGTAGCTATCAGACTAAGAACAGACTCTTTATGGTTAAATGTGACTTCAGACTGTCATTAACTTAAAATAATTTTATTATAAGCTAATGACATTCTGAAGTCAGATGCTGTCATAAAATGTCTGTTCTTAAAAAAAAACCCCTGGCTTGTTGATATTAACTTGAAAATGGTAAAGATGGTGACCTTTAACAATCCCATATGTGAAGAGTTAACTTCTTTGGTCGACGTTACAACAGTGATGGCCTGGTTATGAACACTCAAGATTTATTGTCTAGTAATTAATAAATAAATAATTTAGAACCAGGTGCCTTAAGAACTCAGTTTAGTGGATGTTGTCTCATGCCAATTTAGATCCTCAAATTTCAACACTAGTTAGAGTAATTAATATTACTGTTTGTGTATTATAGCTTCCTGTGCTTGAAACTGATAGTGGAAGTTTATTAAACAGTCCAAATAGCATTTGCAGGTAAGTTTTGTAATGGTTCAGAGACACGCACATTTATTTTCAATATTAATGAGAGGTTGTCTTCAAAATGTATGGGCATTAAATGAAAATATAGAATCACAGGATGAATTAGGGCCAAAGAAACTGACAGAACGGAAACTAAAAGTACCAATGGAAACTAACTGTAATTATAAATAACTTAGTGCAGTCATCTTTTACAGATATCTCCTTGAACTGGGCAGAAAATCAAGTGAAGTCCCTGATCCTAACAAGGAAGCAGTCATTAATCAATGGGTGGAGTGGGAGAGTACATCTTTGCAGGTAGGTTTTTCCGTGGGTGAAGGAGAAGAGTACAGTAGATTGGACATAAGAAGGTAATGCAACTTTTTTTCATTGCAGCCTGTTCTTTTCTCTCATCTTGTGTTGTCCATTGGCTTGGGTAGACAGGATAGTGGTCATGTAGAGGATGTAAGGAATCTGTTGAGACATGCAGACGGAGAGTTATCATCACACATGTTTTTCTCTGGGGTATGAATTCAAACTGAGTACTAAATGCTCATTGTCCTTATTTTTTTAGTGACCAAAGCAAAAGTGTTGGACTCCTACCCTTTAATAAGGATTTCAATTTTGATTTGTTTTGTTTGGATTGTTACATGTAGTATTTTCTTCCCTGCTCCTCCTGCTCCCTTTAGTTTCAATTTGATCATGATTTGACTGGCATAAGAGCCAGTAGATTTTTATTTGAGTGTCAAAATTAAATCTCATTTGCTTTGGTT